AGCATCACTCGCCTCCCCGTCATTAGTCCTTGAAGCCTCACGGGGGACGAAACTAGAAAAATCAAAAACGGGAAAAGCTGCTGATATCTTCCTCTTGAGTTCCTCATAGCCATCAATAAAGGCGTCTGCCACGACCCTTTCAGCAGTATCTCTCTTCTTCTCCATCTCCATGGAATAAGCCTCTACCCTAGTAGCTCTCTCAAGAGCTGCTCAAAGGTCAGTCTTTGCTACAGTGGCCCTCTCACGGGACATTCGTAGCTATGCCTCTGGTCTAGCGCAGGTAGCCTCTCTGGCAGCCTCCAGCTGGGCGGCCATCATGCGAGACACCTGGAGCTCAATCTTAAGTATGGCATCTCTCTTGTGTGTTAGCCTTGACTGCTCCTCGGCATTCTGTCACGCTTGCCTCTCGAGCCCTAGCTACTCCTCAGCAGCCCTCCGTGCCTAGCTCTCCACTGCCTGACCATTAAGTGCCTCTCTAAGCTTCAACATGCTTGAAAACAAGCAAGGAAAGGTTTCAGCCACCTACAGGTATTCAAAAGCCAGAACATGAAAGAAGGAAGCCAGGTACGAGATTAAAGATGAGTAAAAGGCATACCAAAGCAAAGCCCTCAATCGTTGTGTCGATGACGCCCCTCGGACCTCGAGAACCAACCTTTTGGATCTCTGCAGTAGTCACAAACCCTCACAGTCGCTCCTTGGCTAGATTCACATCCTGTAATACAAATACCAACCCATTGCTAGAAACAGGACGACCATGCAAAACCCTGATCCTCGTAGGAGACCGCACTAAAGCCTTAATCCCAACGACCATATTGGGATGAACTCTGGAAGGCGATGGTACCACGATAGGGGGATAAGTGTGGGCATTACCAAGTGCCGCCTTTCAGGGACAATCCTAGCCGGTAGACCTTAGCCGAGAAACACTAGGGGCATCAAACCTCATCCTCTTAGAAGAAAGAGGGGAAGACGCCACCCTAGAAGCGTAGACAACCTCTATCATCGCCCTATCAATAGAAATACCTACAAACTTGGAGTGAGACAAAAAACTTATAATGTCGTAACCATCAAGAGTCTACTGAAAGGATCAAGTACCTTTCCTTTTTGGCCTATGAGAAACCTTGGGACGACCTGCCGCGGACATAATCTTTGATAATTCCTTGAAAGAATGGTCATGAACTATCTAGAGCCTACTCTCTTGCTCTGTAGATAATGTGGGTGAAACTACATAAAAACCAATCAAATAGTGAGAACAGATATGAGAAATCGAAGCACTATCGTGGGGAACAAGAAACCTCTTGAGGTTCACTTATGTCCTCAACTCCCTCATCTCACAGGTGATCAAAGCTTGGGACATGGGGGGCAAATGATGAGCCCAAATCTAATTAGGCTAGGACCAATAAATTCAGAAAATCCAAGTCAACTAAAAGGCAGGTCAAGCCCAGTTTGCAAATCTGGTCCAACCCATGTTCCAAGGAGTCCAAGAAGAATTAAAGCACATAAGGAGCAATTTATCGGGATACTCACTCTCGAAGATCAAGACAACCTTTTATGGCACTTACCTTTTGTAGCCACCCGGAGAATTAGTACCTTTACCCTCACGTCACCACCTTAACCAAGACTCTATGCCTATAAATTGTAAGTTTTCTCTGCATGAGAGGACATATTGAGCTATACCTCGACACTTCTCTACACACGCATAGCTTTTCTCTCACCTAGTTATTATACATCTCCTAGAGCTAACCATCACTTTCTTTCTCTCATTTACCTTACTTTATCAATAAAGACTCATTGGCCACCGTTGCCGTTTTCTAGAATGGAGTAGGTCACGTAGACCAAACCACTATATATCTATGTGTTGACTCAATATTTACATTACTACCATTGATTGCTTTATTTATTGTTCATTAATTACACCTTATTACACACTCGACTGTTGATTTTGTACAAGACTATTTTGTGCATTATCAAGTATTATTCTTTGATTGAAATTGGACTGAATTTACTTAATTTAAAAAAGTGAAAATTGTTAAAAAATACAAATCTCGTACTTAATTTGTCACTAAGTCCAAACATAGACTTTTTAAGGTGTGAGTTCCAACTCAACTGGATTTTTTAAGTTAAGAGGACCAAACTAATTTTTCTTTTTCTTTTTCTTTTTTTATATATGACCATCATACCTTTTAGTAAGTTACGTTAATTTCATTCCCTCTTCGCCTAAAATCCCCTAAATCTACACATCCCCTAAATTGAATGAAACCTTTCTTCTTCTTCAGATACCTACAACCAGTTTTGGGCTCCATCGACACCAATGGTCAACGACTAACATGGTGGGAGTAACATCGTCGTGCATCTTCGGCCAAATCGCTCGCTCTTCCACCTTCACCACTCTCATCCACTTTGTTTGCTCTTTCTCTCTCTCTCTCTCTCTCTCTCTCACACACACACACACACACACACACCAACAACAACAACAACCTCTATGAATCAGTAATGAACTCTACCAACAGCAAAGTAAGCCTCCTTGATGCCTAATCATCAAAACCCAGTAAACCCCAAAAGCCTCTGGTCGTTATCTCCTTCATCTCTTTATTCATCCTACTAGAACTAATAATGGGTACATTAAGCACAACTATATTCATAAAGAAGTTGAATCTGATTCAACCTAGTCGAGTCAATCCAATCCATCTAATGAGAGAGAGAAGAACAAAGACATGGTCGGAGGAGAGGATAATCACAGAAATCATGCAAATGGGACCCACGAAGGTGAATTCAGGACCAAGTATAGAGCATGAGTGGCGGGCCCTACTGTAAGCCCAAACACTGGAAGTGCAACACTGTCATCGCTATGGCTGGCATCTTCCTCATCTAGGATTGACAGTTAACTAAAAGGTAATGAACTAAAAAATTCAGCTTTTATTTCATCCATAATATACAAAAAAGTAGATTGAGTTTTTTAGTTCACTGTAGTATAGTTCACTGTCGGTGGGGATTGGGGGTGGTGATATTTGGGTGAGGGTAAAAGTTTTTAAATAACCTTCTTAATTAAGGGTATTTTTGTCAACTATGTATTTTGTAGACCTTTCGCCTTAAAAGTGTCTAGAGTGGATCTCTCGCCTTAAAGGTGCATGACTTTGTACCTCTCGTTGGAGTTCCTTTTAAAAACAAATTTGGATTGAATTGACATGTATGCCCTTATAGATAGATCACTCTCATGATGGCCATGTAAGTGATTCCAATATCAGTTTGGACAGAAGATTAATAGAAGGAACAAAGTACAATAAAGGTTAACCTCAAGGGGTAGCTCAACTCGTAACAAAGAGAGTTGTAAATTCATACATTCTGAGTTCAAATCTTGATAACCACTTAAAATCGGGCTATTAGAAAATTATCCCTCATGAATACTCTAGTCCTAGTGTAGATGATTAGCATTTCATCAAACCGGAGAAAAGATTGGTCAAGGTGTGCGTAAGCAGACCCCAGACGTCCCTACCATTGAACCAAAAAAAAAAGTAGAATAAATGTTCAAAATTGAAGAAATATTGGGAGCAAATCTTAAGTTTTGAAGCACAATTTTATAAAAGATATCTTTTTTATCAAAAAAATCTTAAAATTCTTAATTTACACTTAAAAAAAAAAAAAAATCTCACACGTTTTCTCAATAAAATAAAAAATAGTAATGCGACCTATTTTAGAAATAGAAAAGTATAACAAATACAATAAAAAATTTGCCCACATTGTAGGTTTTTTATTTTATTTTATTGAATTTGTAATATAAAAATTTCAATAATTTAGAGTATAAATTAAGAATTTAAAGATTGTTATTCACATTAAATACAAAAATAGGAAAAATTACGCCTTAACTACTTTGAAATTTATCACTTAATCACTTAAATCCTCTAATATTTAAAATATTATACATAGACTCACTAAAGTTTGTACACATGTAATACTTAGATCTCTACTATTAATGTTCGTTAGTGTATTCATTAGTAAATTACACTCAGATCACCTGAAATTTACAAGTGTATAACACTTTGGCATCACAAGTTTAAAATTTTATACTTCCATCCCTTATTAGTTACGGAACTAACTAAATATATTAAACAACCAAATTACCCAAATCAAATATATAAAATATTGTGTCCATTAAAATTTGACTTATTATTTATTTATTTTTATTTTATTCTAATAGATAATATAATTGTATACAAATAGGTGTTGAAGTGAGTTCTTTGATATATTTATATTGATTACTATTTTTTCCTTAAAAAATTAAGATTTTGTTTGATTTTTATGTCAATTATATAATATAAAACATGACAGGTTTTAATATGCTCATTTGACAGTCTTAAATAGATTCATCATATAGCCACTAACATTTCTCTTAAAATCATTCACATTGAATTTTCTCCCTCTAAAAATCCATCATTTTCCACTTACGTTGCATCGTACCTTCTGGCACAGGTTAGACTTATTTCATATGTTTGTAGTTGATGATAAAAAAATGTCGACCCAAGGTGAAAAACCCATTTATTTAAACTCCAAACTGACGTGGAGGTTATCCAAGTTTTAGCATCAATAGTACTAATTATGATTTTTTAAGAAAAAATTAAATTTTATTTTTGATTTTATTTAAATAAATAACATAATAGAACATGAATTTTGGTTGTAAATTAAAAATATTTAATATTCTATTCTATCTTTAATCGGAATATTTTTGATATAAATATAATATTTTAAATTTGAAGTCTTCAAGTATTATAGTTTCAAATTTCGGAGGTCTGGATGTAATTTATTAATGGATATTTACGGTCGGAGTCTATGTATTATGTGCGTATAAATTTTAAGACTTTTGTGTGTAATATTTTAAATATTAAGGTTCTAGGTGATTAAATTACAAACTAAGGGTGTATGGGTGTAGTTGTTCCTAAAAAATAAGTTGCAAAATAAAAAGCTTTCTTATCTAAAACCAAGCAAATGGGCAAGAATGAGGCACTCTAATGGCTGGTATCTCCACCCACTTAACACGTTCTACTCTCTCACTTCTTTCTACTTCTCTCCGTCGCTCTCATTCATCGAAGGATCGATTGTCCTGCTCTTCTTCCTCATCAGCTTCACCTCTCATGGATCCACAGAACGGAGGGCGAAGAAGGTTCATGGAATTTCCTTACGTCTCGGCCCCACACAGAAATCTGATGGTGGAACTCGTCTCGATGATTGAGACTCGTCTTGATTCATTCCTGCTTCCTTGTAACCTCCCACCGGATGTCCAGTACTACCAGAACCCTAGTGGGACAGCCCATGCCTCTCTCCACGTCCGATCTGGCCTTAAGTCATCTCCGGTACTCGCACTTGCTCTATAATCTGTTTTTCATTCCTTCCCCTTTTGAATTCACCGTTTGCTTATTTATTTATTGGTGTTTAGTTGTCCCATCATTGCTCTTTTATCACCTGTTTGGCATCACAATATCACATATTTCAAAAGTAGTTTTTGTGGGTATCTACAATTCTACTCATAAGAGGGCGAAATTCGATTCTAAATGTTGTGTTTTGAAGAGCAACAAAGGCTATGCTAAGGAATTTTCAAATTAAAGTGCCTTTGTGGATGTGTTCTTGGGGAGATGGAAGGATGACTTTGGGAATTGGGACCAATTTCACATCGGAAGAAGAAGAAAAGTTTAGACCCTCTGCTCAAGCGGGGTGATGTTGGCGCTTTGATGGCGTACTTTAGCACATGAGCGGTAGTGCGTTGGTGCCTACATGGTGCACTTAGCAAGTTTAGGTACGAATCGGGTTGATCAGCCTAATCAGGTGTGCGGGTGCCAGCAAATGCGACGATTGGGTGTGTCATTTACAAATGGACATAATAGTTAGATCAAACGTCAAGATTTAAATAGACAAATTCAAATTAATTAAAATTTGAATTTGATACCATTTGGCCAACAAACACCAATGGCTAAGTACAGATTTGCATTGCACACCTTAATTTTTGGTGGGGGCAAATATTGTTGTTTCAAATGGCTAGTTTTTTATATTGTGAAAGTGGGTTGTTTTGGGGGTGAAAATTTGAGGAAATGAAGGGGAGGAGTGGAGGTGAACATAACTGATGAGGAAATGTGCAACTCACCCTAAGTTTTAGGAATTTTTTTGTAATCTACCATTAAGTTAATTGCCAAAAAAACCTTGTACTTAGGGGGGGAATACTAAGACCTCCTTCAACTTTAATCTTTTGTATTGAACCACCCTCCACCTTAAAACAAAGTGCAAAAATGGATGGGTCGTAGGACGCATGCATTTAATGGTTCGTGTGACACACGCATCCTAAACTGCATGTGACGACCTATAAAAAATTTATGATATAAAATTCCTCAAATATCATCACCTCTTCCCTCTTTCTTTTCTCTATCTCCTTTCAACAGCATCACCAGAGGTTGTTCCCATTGTGCCTCCATCTTCTTCATCTTCTCTGTCTTTATCTCTATCTCTCTCTTTAGAGTACCACCAACGAATTAGCAAAAAATCTGAGCACATTTCTCTTTATCCTCTTCCTCCTGTCCATCTCTCCTCTCTCTCTCTCTCTCTCTGCAAACCCCTTGCCTCCCCCCTAAAACACCACCTTTTGAAACTTCCCACCACTCAACCCCCAATTTCCACCCATTGCATCCCCTTCCATCCCCAAAGTTACCTAGCTCTCTCCCTATCTCCCCTTTCTCTCTCTCTCCACCAAAGCCTCCACCAGACCCTCTCCCTGCCCCATCGAAACGCAACATTTGCAACACCCCAGACGACGCCACCTCATTGTAACTCCCTACTCCACCCCACCCCACCTGCTGTGTGCGACCCACTCCCCACCAATGAATTTGTCACTGATTTTGTCTCTGAAATTTGTGGTTGAAATCAATGCTAAAATTTAAATTTGCCGATGTGCAAAAATTCACCGTTGTGCAGAAAATTCAGTTATGGTTCTTTGATGTGCATAAATTCTTCTTTGATTTCCACTGTAGAATTTGAGGTTGGAGCATAAATTTGGCTTTGTATTCGCCATTGTGCAGAACTCCTAGATTTTGTTTCTAATTTAGGATTTTATTTTTTGATTTTAATTTGGTGTTGGTGGTGGTGGTGGTGGTGGTGTGGTGTGGTGTGTGCAAGGACAATGGTATTAACTGGTGATGATGAATGTGCAGTTTGATTAGTGGCTATGATCATGGTGATAGAGAAAGGAGGGTAAGAAGGATGGATTCTAAGGCTTGGCAATTGCAAAGATGATATGACGTGATTTGTTGTCAGTTGAGGATGGGAGAGGGAGAGGGATTAAGAGGGTCTAAGCTAAAGAAAGGGCATTGTAATGAAAATTAAATGAAACTACTGAAGTATTTTGATAGTTTTACATACTAGTTGATGCACACGTGCGTTGCACGTGAACCAATTCGCTGAAATATTTGAATATATACATTTGACTTGAGATTTATGAATTATATGGTATCTTGTTCAATTTGGGTCTAATGATTATTATATTAATTTTAAGTAACTAACATCATGGACTTGAATGGTTGCCCTATTTTATGATTTGTATAACTCTTTTATTGTAGAACTCGTCACATGAAACTAATTATTTTTAAATTAATTTAATGTGTGATACAATAGTAATGGTGAATATGGTTGATTGATAAACACCGATTAAACTTTAAGCGGTAGAACAACCATGACATGCAATATGTACAGGAATTAAAATAATGATTATAATAATTTGTCTCCAAATATGTAGGAGTGCCTAAACTTCGCAGTAATGCCGCTTTTATCAAAGTAACAAAGCAACTTTTAAAGTTTTGTTAGAAAAACCTTTAAGAATTTAATCTTGAAGAACTATGGGCAAGCTAAAGCAACTTATCAAAGTTGTTGACCACATGCTTGTGAAGCTCTAACTGAATATAGCAAGTCTCAATTACGGTGCAAATTCATGACAATTTCAATGCTATGAATCAATGAGTCCTCAACTAATCAATTAGAATTAAACATCACGAAAAATTTGACAGTGGAGTAGTGCTGAAATGGAAAAGAATTAGATGGGATATGCAAACTTGTGTATGCATCCGATGTCTTGGATAAGGCATGACTGAGGAAGGAGAGAATCCAAATTGTTGAAAGTAGTGGAACAGTCTTCAGAGCTCTGGACTTCGCGAAGCAAATGCATCACAAATTCAATTCCAAATAACATTAATTCACACAATGAGAAATTTAGGGTAACTGATATATGCAACTAAACACTTAGAGAAAGATGTTGCACGATTTGAATGCAACCATATGCTGAAGCATAAAATTTACTTAATGATAATAATAGAGGATAAAATGGAAATGTAATTCTTAGAATAAAGATTTTATCAACTTTATAACATTATTAAATGGTAAAATAGAAAATAAAAACTTTGACATTCATCTAAACATAATCTTTAGGCGGTAAGTACAAACATAAATTTTAAAAATAACGATGAACCATATTCCAAATGTTCAACAGTGAAACAAATTTACCTGGAAATCCATTTTATCTTTTATTTCAAGTCTTATTTTATCCTTCCATGTTATTATGACCTATGAATTAGTTATCTCACCACCGTAGGCAACTCCATCCCTGCAAAAATTAAATGAATCGAGAAGGATTTGTTAGACTGCCATCGTTACTTTAGGCAAATTTCAGAAAGAAGTACCTAATAGACATTTATTTATATGTTAAGTTATTTTATCAAGCAAGTAATAAGTTGATAACCATATATACAATGATAGCAGCATTGATTCCATGAAATGCATGGTTTGGATATCAACCAAGATTTTATTGTATTCACAGTGTCTGGTGCATTTATTTTAAATTTATTAGAAAAATATTCTTTTGTAAATAGATGGCAGTATCCACTAAAGTATATAGATATCATAGTCTAGAGTTCAATACACAATACAAACGTTAATTTCTTAGGCTAATCTAATAAATTTAACCAAAAAATTAGTCTCCAACCAGGCTGCAAGCTTAGAGATCTTGGCTATTTCACTATCACATGCAAAATGTCTTTTCCTGGATACACATAAATTCAGGAAAATCAAATCAAAGCCTTTGTTGTCCACATGGACATTGAAATTATGTTCAGCCTTCTAAATTCACCAACGTATGACATTTTTGTATAGGTGTAATATTAATATTTTGTACAGGTTAGCAACTTAGTTCACCAAATATGGTATGAGACACTAACCGCTAAAGCTCCATTGTCGTTCCTTCTAGCGGTTGAGGATTTTATTGCTTAATAAAGAATGAAATATGTTTTGAGATGCCTATTACTATATTAAATGTTTTTGCACATGCATTGACAGACTAATGGATAGCTTAATATATATAGCAAAACAGAGCAATACACCAGAAACCATCGACAAATAACCATAAAAAAAATAAATTAAATTTACGTGCTTAAAAGAGAGAAAAATGGGTTAAGCGAGCATTGTAGTGCTACCAATAAAAGGCTGGCACTTAAAGCATTGGTGAAACAAAATGTGCCACCCAATATGGCGACTTGCCGGACATTAGAGTATTTCATTGTGCTAAAGCTCCAATTCTTACAAGTTCTATAACTGGCTTAAAGTCTGCGACTTCCTCAAGTTTCAAAGGAACCTTTTAGAAATGGAAAATTTCCAAAACTAATATATAGAGAAGAAAATTTAGAGGAACTAATACACACAACTGAAGCTTGAATTTGTGCAAAAGAAAGAAATCAATGTTTTGTAGGCAAATCATACGAATCTGGAGAAGTGCATTTATGTATGTCTCAAATCTCAACTTCTTTTTCTCAAGTATGGTACGGGGAACGACCTTAACTTTTTTGTACCAATGGATTATCACTTTGCTTTTCTCTAATTTAATCATTTCGGCATTCATATGTGCACATCCGTATAAAAATATGCATGCATATATAACAAGAGAGAGAGAGAGAGAGAGAGAGATGAACTCAAAATGACAACAGCAAGAAAAATACGCATGCCAAAACTTTAAACAACCCAATCGTACTTTTCAGCAAAATGGTCGAATCAAACGTACTAATCTTCCTTGTTGTATTTGATTCCAATTCTCTCTTTCAATTTTGAGTTTGAATTTGTGTAGATTCGTCAACCAGGAGTTCGATTTGATGCTAATATTTCTAACACATTGTTGATACAGAAAGTGTGACACCGCCAGTTATGATCGACTCGGATAGAGGGTAAGCCTAACGGTGGTGAAGGAAACTGATGGCCTTTGTGAAAACCGAAAGTTACAAACTAAAAAGTTGCCAAGAGATAGATTGTGTCAAATTTTCAAGGTTTTTGTATTTAATGGTGATTAGATATCCGATCGGTGCTTACAATGATGTTACGACCATTAAGGCCTTGAAACAATAAATGATATATTCACTCCTGGCTTTTGGTCATCCAAATGCTAAAATGATGTAGTAATTTCTGGAAGGGGAAGAGTTGATTGGTTTGGGTGAATCTCTTCAAATATTCATTGACTGGATGGGTTTTGAGGTAATTAAAATATGTAGTAGGGATATTGTGGTCAATTAAAAGTTTTTCCATTATATGTACATTTTATAGTAGTATAGATTATGTGATGAATATCCATTTTTGCACTTCGATCACGAGTTAAAGGAGGTTTATGCAAAAGTTTAAAATTGAGGGAGGTCATCTGCTTCCACCCCTACGAGAGCTCTTTTTGCAATTAACTCTATCGTTTATGTTATCTGTTTGGTGAGACCTATATCTATATTATTGATGCTCCTGTTAGAATTCTCTTGAGGATGAGAAAATATAATTTGCATGATATAAGAGTTAAATTCTTGATGTTCTTAACTTATATGGGCTTAAATAAGCAAATCTTATATCATTTTTGGTCATATTGCGAGTTCTGGAATTTCATTTTGTTCTTGTATGTTTTTTCTTCCCTTGTGGGGTTTCTACATTGTCTCATTTTTTGTGATATTACTTGGGTGATAAGTTCTATATGAAAACATGAGTTGAAATTCTGGTAAGGGTTAAGAAAGCTCATGTTTACATAAGCTGCCTTATCCAACCTTGATTTGAAAGATAGGTAATTGTAGTCACATAAGGGAGTAAGGCGATAGGACAACCAGCTCATGTTTATGTAAGCGCAAGCTTTCAAAATCATCATGCTAAATTTTCTCTGATGTCCAGTAGAATTAAACAGAGAGTAATGTATAAAATTTTATACTTGTGATTACATTGGAAACTTATGAATCAATCATGGTTTCATTTTCAATGCTAACTTTGTTTAAGTGGCTGATTCTTCAAGATGTTATTTAAGTACAAATGTTGCCTATCACAACTTCCTGACTTGGTTCGGGATGTTACAGGTATGTTTGATGTTTAAAGTACAACTCTCCCTTAGGATCTTTGGTAAAAGAAAATTTCCAAGAACTTTAGCCTGCATTTATTTGATTTAGCTATGATATATTTTCTCGCAAAAGATTGGATCCAACGGTCATTAGCGCAAGCTTCGTGAGATTAAACCTTCCAGAGCAGCTTTTGACCTCTGGTTCTCTGGGTTGGGAGAGCATAACCTGTTGCGGAAGGTGGTTAGGTGAGCAGAAGTTGATTAAGCAGGATTGCTTTGTGGTCTTCTATGCTCAACTTGTACGAGCTTTAGGTTAAATCTTGTGCTAGTTCAAACCTAATGACATTTAGCTGTCAGCTTTAGACAAATAGCATTGAACCCCGACTATGTAACCAACTCCCTCTTAGTTCTCATCTCATTTCTCGTCTGATCGTCTTCAAGATCGTTTGAACCATGACGTGGATTGAATTGGATATCTGATTGACTAGTTGAAAATGTTTCCTATTCGTCTAATTAGAGAAGGTCTTGTTATGTGGGTTTAGCTGTTTGGCTTGGCGATTAGCCTTCAATCTCTCTCATGTGATTCTCCCCTAGTGGGCAAAATTTTGCCATTTGAGAGACCCGCATATCTTCCGCAATGGATGTTCTTGTTTACTACAATCTGCATATCTCTGATTTTGCTATTGCAATTCTCTACCTGTTGTTTATTGCTGGAATTGCCTTCTTATGTCTGAAAATTTCTACCCCAAGCCATCGAGCCATTTGTGACCTTCCCTGCTGTTAGGACCTATGCTTGAATCCTTGTCCAATTTAAATGACTGTAGTTCTGCATCAAATCAAGCTAGCCTGTTATCATTGTTGCGTTCTTAGCTGCTTCTTGAAAGTTATAGGATCTAAGACTCAAATTTCTAAATGTTTCATTTTGTATCAGATGGATTACATTTTAGGAAGTTGGATCCACAGCAACCTGCCATCAGGAGAAGCCTTGGACATAACAAGCCTCTCCGCCTATCTGAACCCCTTAACAGATGCCCCAAACTTCTTGATTGAGCTCATCCAGCGCAGGCCAACATCTATGGTTCTCATCCTCGACTTGCCTCCGCGAAGGGAACTAGTCCTACACCCAGACTACCTGAAAGCTTTTTATGAAGACACTCAATTGGACAGGCACAGGCAATTTTTTGAGAAGCTCCCGGAGGTCCAGCCGTACTTCTCTTCGTCTCTCTATGTTCGTTGTGCTCTCTCTCCCACAGCAATTATAGTCCTCATTAATGGTGAGAACTCAGAACACATGGAAGAGATTGTTCGAGATCATGTGAGTCCAGTTGCTAAGGAAGTATTGGGGGTCTGGTTGGAGCTGTGTGCTTGTGGAGAGAGACAAGTGGGAGAGACAGATAGGGCTTACTTGGAAAAGAGGGGTCAAATGACCAAGAGAAAGACTTTAGAAGTTGATCTGGGTTCAAGCTTTCCAAGGCTGTTTGGGCAAGAAATTGCAGACCGGGTTTTAGGAGTCTTACGGGAGGTTTTTAATGTTTGAAAGTGCAGAGTTTCCATCCTTGTTTATGATAATGTATGTAAAATAAAATAGCTGATTTAATGTTTATATAATAACTATTAGAAAAATGATCAGTAGTGTAGGCCTTGTCTTTCAAGGCATCTCCAATTTCTTGGTGCCACATGATGCTCCATTTGTTGTTAGTCGGGTTCCAAGTGACCAGTTTTCATGGGAAGGTTTATGACACCTTTTTTTGGGTATCGTACTTAAAATCATAATTTTTTATGATAAAGTTATACATTTGAAAAGAGAATTTACAACTGTTCAAAAGAAGATCATAATCGATAACAGATACTTATCATTGATCATGAGTTTCTTGTGAACAGTTATATGTCTTTTTCCTTATGAGTTGTATAACTTGACCTTTAAAAATTGTAACTTTACCTTAAAAGTTGTAATTTTTAATTTTGATTTCAACATTTAATGATCAGTTATGTTTTTTATAAATTATAACTTACACTTAAAAAAATTGTAATTTAATTTTAAAAAATTATAATTTTCCATATGGTATGGTACGGTAGCCTTTCCCTCGTTATCTTCGGTGGAACGAAAGGTCTTCACTACAGCAAATTAGCTGAGATTCCCCAGCAAATTCTGCGTATTGACGATAAAGAAAGCCCAACAAAGGAAGCCGATCGATGTGTTTGATTCGTGTCTCTTTGATAGGTAGAATTGTGACTCCGAATAAGCCAATGAATCGAGTGATTCATAAACGAATTAGGATTGATTCGGATTAAAGTTTGTTCAATTATAAAACATATTGAGTTCGAGTTTAACTTGAATTACGGTTGTTTGATTGGTTTAGACTCGTGAATATATATTGATATATAACTTAGAGGTGTCGAAATATGATACGACCCGTTAACACAGACACGATATTGAACGGTTTGTACCTTCTTTAAGTCAACCGTTCTATAAACGAATCAGGTATGAGTAAAATCAATTAAAAAAAATACAAAACACGACTCGTTTATGTACCGATTATACAATATTAAAACACGTCACAAACCCGATATAACTAGACTTGTTAAATACAAATTAATAAACAAAGCAAATATGAGTAGAATACTATTTAACACAAAATAATTAAGATCGGACACGATTAACGTGCTATTATAATCCAGCTAAGCATGGTCTGACACAAGTCGAAACTCAAGTTTCAACTGGATCACAAACTCGAACTTAGTTCAGTTAATCGGACGAACAAGGCCAAACTAGAATTCGGGGAAGAACAATCAGCTTTTCGACTTCTTCTCAAGGCTTGAACTATTTGCCAAAATGACCAAACATCTGTTTGGTTTGAGTTTTACGGGGCCTCCATGCTGAACTAATAAATAGCTTAAAGCCCGTGGCAGTTTAACACTTTTTTGAGAGAGAGATGTTGGTGCCATTTTTCCTTGCTGCATTTTCTTCTACTGCTTACACTTCTCTCGCATTCTCTGTTGCACTTACTTATCACTCTGCTTGCACATTTTCTCTTTTTATTTAATAAAAAATTTCATGCATAAAGTTTCATATTTATTATTTTTAGGAAAATTTTCAGCCACAGCCCTTCTATTTTTTGAATATTCATTGACACCCCCTATCAGATTAAAAATGTTAATTAGAATGCAATTTTACTAAATTACACATGATATATTTAAAAAAAAAAATTATCCACACTCCCTCTAGATAGAGATATCTTCAATGAAATCCCCTATATTTTTAAAAAACAATTATGCAGTAAAATTCGGGCATATTAAAACTGGACTCTACTTAATTAAAATTTATTTTTTATCAAATAAAATTTGAGTCAATTAAAAATTATTTTTTTTACGTAGTAAAATTTTAGTGGATTCAAATTATATTTGAGTTGATTAAAATTCATTTTTAATTGATTCAAACCAAATTTTAATTAACTCGCTTTGAATTTTAATTGGTTCGAATTTTGATACATAAAAAAATATAAATTTTAATTGACTAAAATTTTAATACAAAAAAAATTAATTTTAATTAACTTGAATCGAATTTTAATAAGAAAAAATATAAATTTTAGGACTAACAGCTCAGGTAGAGCTCAAATTGGCTCAAATTTTAATACGAAAAAAAATAATTTTAATAGACTTAAATTTTAATATGTAAAAAAGATAAAATTTAATCAGTTCTATTCGAATTTTAATCGACTCAAATTTTAATATGCAGAAAAAAAGAATTTTAATCAGTTCAAATTTTAATATGTAGAAAAATAAATTTTAATTAGCTTGAATTTTAATCGAATTTTATGTAGAAAAATTATTTGGAATTTATGTAGGAATAATTTTGGTATTTTAAATATGTTTGCGTATCAGTGATAGTTTATATAATAGAGGGGTGTTTTAAAGATATGATAAATTAAAAGGAGTGTGGCAGAATTTTTTTTTTTTTATTGTGTTATTACTATTTTAATTAATAATTCTAAATTATTCAAATCAAAATTGGCAATCCAAATCACATCGACACGGTATCAATCCAGTACCATGGTCTTATTCTTGAATTAATTTGACAAGCAACCTCCAAATTTAATTTTGGGCAGATATGTGACATAGTACAATTGGTATGGTCCCATTTGTGATTTGTCTTATTGCAGGCAACTGGTAATTTGTTGTGTTCCAATTCTATGTTATGAGACATCGTCAACATCCTACGAATCTTCTATTTTGGTTGGACGGTTGGGTTGCTATCAAACCCAGATATTATCACTGGAATTTGCAAATTTTTTTAAAACTTAATATAATATTTTCTGCCTTATTTTTAAATTTTTTTTTATTTTATTAAAGCATTATTCAGACTCATATTTTTAAATGTAGAAGTGTATAAACTCAATTTCAAAGTGTTTTTTTAATACTAAAAATATGTTTTTTTTTAAAAATTTGCTATATATTAAAATTAAATCACACTTGTAAGAAAATAATTATAGTTCAAAAAATAAATTCGATAAGATAATAGATAAATCAGTGAATTAATAAACTAGAGTTAAGCTTGTCTCCAATTGCAGCATAATTTGAGGGTTCTTTAATTATTTTAAAAAGGTGAGTATTTGTCCATACTTGTAGTTTCAATCAATTTTAAATATTTAAAAATTGTAGGTTTAAGAAATTCTCTAATAGTATTATATTCATTAACTATGTGAAGTCAAATGATAATATTATAGATTCGTTTACAAAAAGTTTGACTAAAGAGTAAGTGAAAAGTTCATCGAAAAGAATGAGATTAAAGTCTATTACTTAACTAAGAGTTACCATAATGACAATCCAACTTAACTAATCGCAGATCCCAAGATCTAAGTTTAAAGGAATAACCGAATTATATGTAATTCAGTACGCACTAAGGAGATGTTTTAGATTTCTATGATGAGATAGCGCGCATTTGTTGCGAGAATTATGATAAGTTTTGTTTTTAATGATATTTTGTGACTTGAAAATATCTAAGTGGGGTATAAAAAGATACTCTTAATCAGAAACCACCTATATGAGTAAAGAATGAGCCGCTTCTATGAGAATTATAAACTAATTACTCTAAAATTATTCATGAAATTAAGCGGCGTTCAAAACCAAAATAAACACAAACATGATAACCAACTATGTTCAAAAGGAAACTGTGTAAATTTTATTATTTTGCTTTACACAAACGACTAACAGTTCAAAGATATCATGCCCACTAGATAATCAAGTGAACTTAATAGTTTGTCACTATGGAAAGTTTAAGGCTACTAGCTATTTATCTAGAAACAATAACCTTTTACCTGTACTTGAACCAGTTTCTGCATCGTCACACATTGAATTTTCATTCACGTGGGAGATTGTTGGAAATAATGGTATATTTATTTAAAAATGATTAAATATTGAATGAGAAATTGTTAAAGTTTTTGTGACATTTGGGAGCAATTGAAAAGGTAGTGAATATGATATAAAGACTACTAATTCAAATTGGTGACTTTTGGTTGAAGACACTAATCCAAATAATTATATCTTTTTATAAAGCCACCATTAACACATTTTGATTAAAAGACACCAATAAAAAATTCAAGAATTCCTCTTTCATTCTAGTTTCCTCAATTATCCAAAATTTTGAATTAAGTATTCAATTTTTCTTCTCTCTTTTTCTTCATATTGATGCATTATTATTTTAAGTTTGGTTCAAGTATAAATACAAATTATGTTCGTTGGAGTCTTAGAGATTGAAGTGAATCATCTTTAAGAACGAAATTTAATCTATCTTAGGAGACAGTTGTTTAACCTTAAATATCGAGAGAGAATAAATTTATCTTAAGGAAACTGTGATTACACAGGAATCAGACTATTGTTTTTATTATTGGATTCTTAGATTTCTAGTTTTTTAAATTTTATTATTCGTGCAGATCTGCGTATCTTTGAGTGCATTGTTTTTTTTTTTTTATATCTATACATTCTATTTAGATTAATACATACATTAAACTTTATATAATTTAATATAATTTAATTATATACATATTTTGGGTAACATTGTTGAAATCAAAATTGACAATTCAAATCACATTTCCACACGGTATCAATCCAGTACCATGGACTTATTCTTGAATCAATTTGACAAGCAAAAAAAAAATTCTATTGTTGTGCAGACATGTCTCATAGTACAATTGGAATGGTCCCATTTGTCCTCTTGCAGGAACCGTTAAGTTGTTTTTTTTCCAATTCTATGTTATGAACATCGTGGACTTCCTACGAATCTTCTAATTTCGTTGGACGGTTGGGTTGAGATCAAACCCAGATATTATCACTGGAATTTTCAATTTTTTTTTAAACTTAATATGATATTTTCTGTCTTACTTTTACAATTTGTTTTATTTTATGAAAGCAAGATTCAGACTCATTTTTTTATACATAAAAGCAGGGGTGGCTCAGCAACGGAAATGTTCCATTTGGTATGATAAAAAAAAAATGAAAGAATGAAAAATATAATGGATAAATAAAACATCACGTTTGGTA